ACTGTCTATAGGACAGGAAATGGACAAGTCAGCCAGCTCTCCTTACTGTTTCCTAGGGACACAATATTTCCCACTATTTCCAGGCTTTCATTCATACTTACTTATACTCTATCAACCATTGAAGGTCTGCCTCCTTTGTAAATACAGCCTGGCCATTGCCAGTTTGCTGAGACCTCTCTCCTTTAACTCCATTTATGTTTACTCAGAGCAGTAACTGGGATGGTGTGACCAAAGCTTTGCCTCAGGTTAAGAATATTTAAAAGATACAGGCAGTACTAGAAGTTCTGCTCCACAGAAACAACTGAAGGTAGGTATCATCTAATTAGCAAAAATAATTAAAATAGGAAGCTCCTGTGGTTTCCTCCCGTAAGCAGACACACCTCTGTGAGCTCCTCCCCAGCCAGCTCACTTTGCTGTCTGCAGTGGCCAACCCAGCAGTGGCCTCATGATATCTGGGGCCACTCTTTCTCCTCCTTCCTCTGCTCATGTTTGTGCCAATGGCATTGGGTGCAAAAGTTACTAGTCATGACTTCGTATCTACTCCCAGCATTGAACTATTCAGTACTTCATTATATGAGACAGTACTGGTCCAAATAAGGAACCAGCAATGGAGCTAAATCTGTAGAGACTGCACCAGATTGGTCAAGGGATGAGGAGTTGTCAGCTTTAGAAATTCACAAGGATATCTAACAAATGGTAAATGAGTGTTTGGATGCCCAAAGCAGAGATAGAAATAGGTACCGGACCTGTGATAACATTGGTAGAGGGAACTCCCAGATGAGCAAACTACCTGTAGCAATGCAGGTCAGCACCTTCTCTGCAATTTTTCTTAGAAACTTGGCCAGAAGTCCCATTAAGCATGGTAAGTAAGGGCTTACCAAATGCCTACTGGATTGAATGGATTAGATTGCAAATACTACACTCAGTAAGTGTGATGTAGAAACCATGGATCCAAATCCCTTTTTAGGTGCAAACCTGGGGTTTTCTCAGGAAGAGGCAAAATGACTTGCTCATGGTCAAGCAACTAGTAGGGCAAAAAAGGCAAAGCTTGAACTTGGTCTTCCCATTTCTAAGGACAGCTCTATACCCACAGTGCCGCACTGCTGATCAGCTGATCCCAAAAGTAATAAAAGAGATTTCTAATTTTCACATCTTTGAAGAGAGGGCGGAGTCTCTGACCTTTGGACAACAACAAAGACAACTTGCAGATTGACCGGAAAAAAAAAGAGGGATGGAGAGGGTACTTCTAAGACCAGGTTACCCTCACTGGTTGGTTTTTTGTTTTAAACATCTTGAATTTGAGCTACATGTTGAGCTTACATCTCTGAGGGACTGTTGGGTGCTTGGAACTAGATGTCCCACAAACGTGGTAAATTCAACATGCCTCCAACTAAACTCATTATCGTCCCTAATATGGAGAGCACCACATCCTAATCACCCAGATTCTAAACCTTTTGTCATCCTGGACTCCTCGCTCACCCTCACCCCACAGATCCAATCTGTGCCAAGCCTTGTGGTTTCTAGCTTCATTAACACCTAATCTCACAAGGGTACCGTGCTGGTGCAGGTCCTAATCACCTCACACCTGCTAGTTGGCAATACCTTTTTCTCTCCCTCATGTCTCCCCCCTCCCCACCTCCACTCCATCCTCCACTCAACTATCAAAGTCGTCTTCTCAAAAGTACACATTTGGCCATGTCACTCTCTTACTCCACAAACTCCAGTGGCTCACTATTACCCTCAGTATCAAAATATAAAATTGTCTGTCCTTCATAAACTGTCTCTCCACACACACACACACACACACACACACACACACACACACACACACACTTCTAGTCTTCTTGCACCTTTCACATCTCCTATACTCTACAGTATAGTGACACTGGTCTCTCCGCTTCTCCTCAAGTAAGACACTCCATCTCCCGACTAAGGGCCTTTGCAGTGACGGTCCCCTAAGCCTGGAATGCTGTCCCTCCTCACCTCATCCTCTTGGCTTGCCTGATTCTAGCCAAGACAGTTCAAACCCCACCTTCTTCAGGAGGATTTTCCGAGTCCCTCCCCCCCTCCAGTGCCTTCTCTCTGATACACTTTCCATTTACACTGAAGAGGTCGTGTACACGCATAGTTATTTGCATGATGGCAGAAACTGGGTTTTTGCCTTTCTTTGTATCCCCAGTCCTTAGCCCAATGCCAGGCATACTGTAGCTGCTTAATAAAATGCCTGCTGGATAATTAAGGAACTTGCCTCCTTTTCCTTGCCCTCTTCTCTCACCTTCCCCCAGCCTTTCTTCAGACTCTGTTGCACGGGGCAGGGTGGGGGCGGGGGCTTCCTCAGTTTCACCAGACGCCAATCCTCTTGTCCAATACTTTGCACCCAAGAACTGGGTAGTGACGTTGCCGAAGCGCTTTTTTGAATACCTTCAGGTACAAGAAGTTGCTCTTAACCACATTCTATGGGGACTGCTGGGCCAGAAGCCAGAGCTACCTAACACGAGCCAAAATCTGAAAGAATCAAAGCTTACTTTCCCGGAGTTGATAGATGTCGCCTGCCCGCTGCTCGAGTTTCCATTGAGAAACCCAAACTCTCCCGCAAGCTACCAGGTGGTGCTGAACCTGGCTCAGTGATGCTGACCAACCGCCAGGCTCCCCTTCCACCCCGGTCCTGGGGCCAGTCTGCAGCCCCGCTCCCAGCAGAGCGCCTCGGGTTCCTCCTCGTTCCCATCCTCCACAGCCTCCAACCAAGCGGGGAGCTGCTGTCCGGGACCCCGCTGCGCGAGTGCTCTAGTCGGGCAGCTCCTCCTTCCTTTCTCCGCAGACCAGGGGGCCCCGTTTTGCTGCGAAGCGAAGGGAGGCCTCCACGTTTCTGGATAGTACACAACTTTAGAAACAGCACAACCTGAAACTGTCCGGCTTCTCCGAGTCCCAAACTCTGCAAGCTACCCGCGGAGACCCAGTGTTAGAGCTCTCTCTCTTACTTCTGAGAAGGGTTGAAAAGAGAACCCCAAAGGAACTAGTCGCGAGTGCATGCATACACAGAAACAGACATAGACACACTCACTCACGCGCACCCACACATACCCCAACAGAGGCATACACATCCCCAGTGAGCGAGCTAGGAAGCAGTTCCAAGCTGTTCGGTGGCCAGTGACAGCCTGAGCCGACCCCCGCTCCTGCTCGGAACCCTAGCGCACCGGAGCCAGGGCAGGCAGGAAGTACGGCCGGAGAGTGGCTGTCACCGTGGCCGTGGCCGTGGCCACGGGCGCGCACCCCCCTGCCCCCGACGCTCTCCCACTCTCACCCCTTTACCTGGCGGCGCTCCGGGGCTAGGGGTCCTGCTCCGGGAGCGGGGGGCGCAGCTAGCCCGGGGGGCGCAGGGACGGCGGCGGCCGCGCGTCCTGTCCGGCCGGCGGCCACTCTGTCCACCCGCCGGCTCGCTGGCTCTCCCACTGGTGCCCCCGCGGCCCAGGGCGCTGCTATTTATCGCCGCCGCCGCCGCCGCAGGGGGATTGGGCAATGACCCCTCTCGAGCCGCGCAGCACCGGCCCCGCAGGGGAGCCGCCGCCCTCCGGCCAGGCGAAGCGAGTAGCCCGTGGTGGCGGCCACATGGAGCAGCTGGCCGGCCCCCTCCTCCCTGTCGCCCTAGGGCCACCACCTCCTCCTTCTCCCTCCTCCTCCTCCCTCCTCCTCCTCCTCCTCCTCCCCAGACCCCCCTCCCCCTGCCCCTCCTGCCTCCGGGGACGCCGCCACTCCTCCCGGCCAAGTTCTTTCCCCCTGCTCTCCTTCTCCCTCCTTTGCCCGGCACTGAGGCCAGTCTGAACCGGTTGTGGCTGAGCGAGCGGCGGCGGGGGAAGGAGGAGGAGGAGAAGAAGAAGGAGGAGGCGACGGAGGCGGCGAGGCTGGTGGTGGGGGCGCTCGCTCGCTTGCTAGCTCGCTAGCTCCGCTCGCTTGTCTCCCTGCTGGGCGCCTAGGGTCGGGGACAGACGGAGGGAGGCTGGCCGAAGAGTCTTCGGGGCTCCGGACACGGCCGGGGAGGGAGCCAGCTCTCCCGGGCAACCCCGCTGGCTGGGAGTGGAGCTGGGCGCTTACGAAGTTGGGTTCAAATGCCACCGCTGACACTCACTAGCTGTGTGACTCTGGGCCAATCTCTTTAACTTTTGTGAGCCTCAATTTCCCCATCTATAAAATGGGAGAAATTGCAATTGTAGTAGCTACCTCCGAGGATCGTTCTAAGGGGGAAATGAGTTTATGGATGTAACAAGATGGTGCACATTTTAACTTGATTTTATTTAAAGGGGGGAAAAAGCGATCTATAAATGTCAGGAAAGGAGGGGTGAGAGGAGAGCCAGCCTCGGATCCTGGAAGGCGTGTTTCTAAACACACGCTGTGTGACCCTGGGGAAATCACAACTACTCTGTGCCCAGACACAATACCTCTGGGTGGACGGTTTCCTTTCTACAAGTCAAGTCCACAGGTAATGTGTTAAGTGCCTACTAGGTGCCAGGCACGTGCTATTTAACGAGGGTACAACGAAAGGCAAATACATTCCTTGCTGTCGGGAAGCTGCGGGTCTAATGGGGATCGCAAGTTCCCTGTTCCAAAAAAATCACAAGTCTACCCCCGCCCCCAAGCAGATGTTAATGTCAGCCATTAGGAAACTACCCAACTTTACCAGCTCATTGTCCTTGACAAGAATAGCTTCCCTCTACAGAGTGCCTTAAGGTCTGAGTTTTAAGAACCATCATCGGGTGCAATCCTCTCATTTTACAGATTGCAAAGCTAAGGCCTAGAAAAGGACCTAAGCCACACAGCCTAGAAGTCCAGAAACTGGGATTCAAAGCCCCAGGCTGTCACATTTGGGTGCAGTGGAAAAAGCATTGACTTTGGGGTGACAGACCGGAATTGGAGGAAGTTGTTCGCCTGCCAGGGCCACATGATTTTTCAAGGGAGGAAATGGATATTCAATGAAATAGGGGACTTCCAGTTTCCGTTTCTGTAAAATTAAGGGACCCGAAGCCATCTCCAAGATCCTTTCCAGATCGAAACTGTATGATCGCAAAACTGTATGATCCCAAAGTGCTTCTCTGTAAAAAGTACAGAGAAGTGGATGGTAAAAAGGGCGTGTCCATTTTACCGAGGGGGAAACTGGGGGAGCCAAAACAAAAGAGACAGCTTGGAACTTGTTAGACTCTCAGACTTTGACTCCAGGAATGGCCCACAGATCACTCCAGGGAGCTGACTGAATGCTTAGGTGGTATGTTTGACTCACAGATCTTAGGGTGAAGGGGAGGATGTTTGGGTTAGAATAGAATAAAGTTAAAGAGTCAAGGTGGGACCCCCAGGGATAATGGGATTGCAGAAGAGGAAGCCAAGGTCATTTTATGTCTCTCCTGTTCACAAGTGTCCTCCCTATTGTACTGACCCTCCCTGCTTGTCCAGTCCCCCGCCAAAAGGCCACAAGCCAGAGAGCTGTCTTTGCATGGCCTGCCCCATCCCCAAGCCCTAGGGAACTAACCCTGGAAAGGGCCTCGGCCATCATCTGGCTCAACACACTTATTTTACAGGTTGGGAAACTGAAGTCCAGAGAAGAGAAGTGTTGGAATCCAGAGTGAAACTAGTATAAGGAAGCCTGTTAAAACTCCCTAGGGAATTGAAGGGCAAAGAGTCTCTGGTCAAATTAGAAGTCAGTGCTTCAAGAAGGCACAGAAGGAGAGAAAGAAATAGGTTTTCTGTCTCATGTGGGCACAGCAGCTCTGAAGGTTGTAAAAGTTGAAAGTAGCCGGACCCAGGAGGAGGGGAGAGGATTACTCATGGAGAAGCAAGAGTGACTACAGAGGAATGCTTATTTATTCATAGATTCAAGGCTGGCAGGGACCTCAAGGGTCATCTTGCCCACCTCTGATTTTTACAGAGGAGAAAACTGAGGCCCAGAAAAGAGAAGGGTCTTGTCCTAGGTCAATGACTGGGTTAGAACCAGGATTTGAACTCATGCCGTGGCTCTAAATCCAGGTCTTCCCCTTAAACCACAGTGTCCTTTGCCTTCCTCCCACCCCAAGGTTTTTTCAAGGAGAAGGGGCAAAAATTGTTAAGTCTGAGCAGTTGGTCACATTGTCAGTGACTCGAGGGGAGCTTTTGACTACTACCTAGCAAAATTGCTTAGTGCATAGGTTGGGTTTAGATAGAGGAAGACCTGGGTTCAAATCTCAATCCCTGCCACAAACTACCAATGCAAAACAGATAAGTCTCTGAAGTGAAGGGCTTGCTGGGTGGCCTCCAACTTCTAGAACTATCCCACTAGAAAGTTTCTTTTAAATGGGAGGCCAAATTTATACACAGAAGATACGAGAACATCCAGTTACAATAACTACTTATTGAACACCTACTATCTACCAAGCCTGCTGGTGGCTGAAAGAGATACAAAGTTTAGATAAGGCAATGTCTTGGAGCGGACTCTTGCCCACAGAGCTCAGAGTCTAACCCAGATATTTGTGTCACGCAGTATTCCACGAGAAGTGCAGTTAGAGCGGAGCAGAAGAAGGCTGTACTTAGGGGACTGAAATTGCCAATTGGGTAATGGAAAAGAAGAAGCCCCTGGGTGAGATACAAAGTCTAGACGACAGCAGGCCCTGCCTTCAAGGAGTTTACAATCTAGTACGATAATAGGCTGATAGCTAAAGGTGGAGGGATTTTAGAAATCATTTAATGGGAGAAGTAAACACCACCCCAACTATGATATGCATTAGAGATACAAAGTTAAGTACTGAGGTACAAGAAGTTTTGGGTTCAATACCTGTCTCTGATACTTAAAACCTGTGTGACCCTGAGCAAGTGCCTTGACTCCTTGGGCCTCATTTTCCTTATCTGTAAAACAAAGGAGTAAGACTGGATGACCTCTGAGGACTCTTCCACCTCTATGCTAGTTGAGGAACCAGGAGGATGGCTGTTTCTGGGTGGAGGCAGGGGAATCATAGAAGGCTTCCTAGAGGTGGCATTTTGGTTCACCTTTAATGGGTAAGTAGGAAACCCAGAATCCCAGAACCGATTTCAGGAGCTGCCTGGTTTAACACACACCTCACTCAAGAATCCCCTTTACCACAGATTCAGCCAAGTGAGCCCCTAGTCTTTTGCTCCAACCTGTTTGACTTCTCTTTCAGCCCTCTATGCCCTGGTTTCCCACTAAGCTGTGCTGTGCTGGCTCCTCCTCTTCCCCACTCTAGGACTCAGTTTCCACAAATCTAGAAGAAGATTCAGCTAGACATCTCTGATTGCTTCTAGCTCTAAATCTTATGACCTATAAAGTGGTGGGAATGGGGGAGGAGGGAAGAGAATAGCAGGTTAAATGAAACAGTTTAATCAAGTAATCAAGTTTGTATTTGAATACAACCAATCAGAGGATCTTAAAAGGGACTTCAGGAGGCCATTGGGTTCATACCTGATCGGGAATCCTCCTTACAATGGACCGGACATGTGAGACTAAAGATCCTAGTGATGAGAGTCTGTGATGCTTTTGTGTAACTAATTAATGGTTAGGAGGAGGAATGTACTTTCCATTGCCACCTCAAATGGTTGTTGGGATAATCAAAAGAAATAATAACATATGTGAAAGGGCTTTTAAAATTGCAAAATTCTATCTGAATATGTCTTTGTTATGTTACAGATTATGGAGGTAAGCATTACCCCTCGTGTTTAAGCCATTTCTTCCTCCTTCATCCTACATCACCTTTCTTTCTTCCACTCCTATCCAATGCTTTTGTTTTGGGGGAGTACAGGTTTGATTTCCATCCCCTCGTACAGAAGAGGAAAGTCCCAAGATTGTTTCATTCAAGAGAGGAAAGGTAACTGAAGAAAGTGGACCAGTGATGTCCTGACTTACTTCAATCTGTCCGTGGTCCTGCCTTTCCCCTGGTCTCCCACATTTGAAGTTTTGGGTTTATTTTTGGCTTCCTTTGCCCTTGCCCAGCATGTCCAAACAACTACCAAGTCATATCAATTCCACCTCTGTGATATCTTTGGCACCTGTCCTCTCTGCCTCACTGCCACCACCTTAGTGAGACCCTCAGTGTCACCCAACCTAGATTATTCCAACAGCCTCTTATCTTTCCTGACCTCTCTGAGGAGCTGGATGGTGCTATGGATAAAGTCCAGGACTAGAAGTCAAAAAGACCTGAATTCAAGTTCTACTTCAAATGCCTATTAGTTACTGTATCACCCTGGGCAAATCATTAACCTTTGTCAGCCTCAGTTTCCTCAATTGTGAAATAGAGGTCATCATAGCATCTAGCTCACAGGATTATTATAAGAACCAAATGAGATAATATAGGAAGGTGCTATGCAAATCTTTCAACTCTGTGTGTGTGTGTGTGTGTGTTCTTGTTATTTTTGTCATTTGCATCCTTATCTGACTGCCAGAACAGTTTTCTTTCATTAAGGTTTGGTCCCGTCAGCCCCCTGCTCACAAATCTTCAGTGCGTCTCTATTGCCTCCCAAACGAATTTCAACCTTCTTTGTCTGGCATTCAAGGTTTTTCACAATCTGGCTTAGCCCACTTTTCCAGGCTTCTTTCACACTGCTCCCCTCTATGCGTGGTACAGTATTCACAGAGAATCACAGTCTTTTTCTCTGTCCCCAAAAATGCTGTGTTGTGCCACCTATGGGTCTTTGCTCGTACTAGTCCCTGTAACTAGAAGGTCCTTTCTCTCCCTCTACGTTGGTTGAATTCATACCTAGCCTTTAAAATCTAACTCAAAGGCAATCTGTTCCAAGAAGCCTTCCCTGGTTTTTCTATTCTCTGTCTCTGACCTACATTGCCTTTCACTGATTCACTCACCCTTATTTTTGTATTTTATCAACAGCTGTTTCAGTGGTTCCCTGGAGTCTGGAAGACCTGGGTTTAAATCCTGGCTCTTTGGCTTTCTACTTATAAGACTCTGGGCAAGGCTCTTTCCTCTCTGTTCCTCAGGCTCCTCATCTGTATAATAGGGAGGTTCACACCAACAGGACCCACCTCACAAGGTCCAATGACAGCATCTATGGGAAGCACTTTGCAAACTTTCAGATGGGTTGCATGTGTATGAATTACTACTATCTCCTCACTAGACTGTAAACTACAGAATGGCAGTTTAAACTGACCTTTGCATTTTTCCCAGCTTACAGCACAGTGTTCTGCATACAGTAGAAGCATAGTAAATGTTCAGTGAATGAATAAAGGAATGAACGAAATGTGAAGAAATAGGACTGATCACTGGGAAACAAACAGCCATTATGATGTTGGGAAGAAAGGTTTAGGAGCGATATCGCCTGTGGCAACGAAGTCATTCCTTAGATTTACCCCCTTGTACTTTCTGTCCAGGCTCTGTCCAGGTGCCTTTCTGCACACCAGGTGTTCATGATTCCATGTTGAGAAACACCTAGTGAGCACACCAGCCTCAGCCTCTACGGTTCCCTTGGTACTTAATTCAGTGGCTCAGAGATCATCCATGATTATTAAGAGAGAGTTTATTGCTTGGAGGAACACCTGCTGAAATCCCCTGCTGAGAAGCTGATTTTCAAGAGAGGCTCAGAGTCCTAGGAATTCCACTTCTGGAGGTATTACCTACTGCTACCGGTGTGCCTTAGGACAAGAAACTAGACCTCTCTGAGCCTCAATTACCTGATCTGTAAAATAAGGCAATTGAACTAGATCAGGTCTAAAATCCCTCATGGCACTAGATTTTGTGATTTACTGATGAATCCATTCTTGTACCCTGCATATCCACCCATACCTTTGCAGTCTGTCCCCAAGCCCCCTCCCTTCTCCCTGTCACTTCTGTGAATCCATGAATTCCTGCAAGGCTTATCTAACCCATCCCTCTCATTTGGCAGGTTAGAAAACTAAATCCCAAACAGGTAAGTGGTTGACCAAACTCACATTCAGCTAGTAACAGAGCCAGGCATGGGGTTGCTGGTAAATGTTTAACTACCAGATCTAAAATAACGACGACAACAACAGCTCAGGACACTGAAAGTTTAAACTGCATTCTGAACATTTTCTCCTTCCTGTTCTCAAGTCTAGACAATCAAAAAAATAATAAATCAAGCTGTTATTTGTAGCATGTGTGGATTTCTGAGGTATAGTTGCTCACACTGAAAGTTTAGCAATTGGTTCTCAGGAACAAGTTGGAGCTGGCTCCAACATACTCCTAGAGCCTGAGGTCAAATCCAGACACTCTCATTCCAAACCTAATCTTCTAAGCTTCTTATCCTTTCTGTGCCTCAGGCTTCTTATCTGTAAAATAGGGGGATTGATACCAATAGTACCCACCTCACAGGGGCAAATGAGATCATGGATGGGTTTACGAACTTTCAGATGGACTGCATATGTGTAAATTATTATCTATTATCTTCCTGTCTATTATATACATATTACGTATTATTATAAACTCCAGCATGGTGGGGACCACTTCACCAAAGGATCTTAGGAATCATCTCCTCCAACCTTCTCATCCTACATATGAAGAAACTGAGTCTCAGACAAATTAAGGGACCCACCCCAGGTCATAATAATGGCAGAAATTCATTCAGCACCTTAAAATCTGCAGAACACAGATTTCTAACTGGAAAGGAGATCCTCTACTCCAAGTCTTTATTGCAAAAATGAGGAAGCTGCTGCCTAGAGAATTAAATACCTCACTCAAGGTGCCACAAATAGTAAGCAATAGAGACAGAATTCGAAACCAGGTTGCCTGAGCCAGACTGTCCCAACAATCTCTCACTTTGCAAACTCCCCTCCAACTGAGGCTCACAGCAACCACTGTGTGTAAGTAGACAGTACCATTCCCCTTTTATCAGTAGGGAAACAGAATCAGGGAGGTTAAGAGCCTCATCAGGGATCACACAATTGGTGTCAAAGGCTATATTGGAACCTAGATCTCAATTCCAGATGCACCACATTACAACTCATTGCTCTAACATCCTGACTTTACTGATGAGAAAAATGAGGCCCAGAAAAATGTTTTGTCCTGAACGAGGTCACAGGCTAATAGAGTTAGAGATAGAAGAGACCTCAGAGTTTATCTGCTCTAACCCCCTCATTTTACAGATGGGGAAACTGAGGCCCAGGGAAGTTAGTGACTTGAGCAACGTCACACAGGTGTTCTCATCAGAGGTGGGATTTGAGCCCAGGACCTCAGACTGCAGAGCTAGTGCTCTCCACTGTGCTAGGGAATGTAATGGTGAGGGCTTATGCTTCAGGAATGGTGCAGTTTCCTTGTCTACAAAAAAAGTAGGTTGGATTGGACTATATAATACAGGTGGTAAATGGCAGAGTAAGCCTGGGCCAAATCCAGAGCCCATTCCATGTCACAATGCTTCCTTCCCTCAAAAAGTTGGGTGAATAGGAACCTCTTTTAAAGGGAAGTTAATCCTAGGGGGAGAGGAGCTACACGGTACAGTGGATAGAGAGTGGGGCCTGGAGTCAGGAAGACCTGAGTTCCAGTCTGCCTCAGTCACTTATTAGCTGTGTGACCCTGGGTAAGTCACTTCACCCTGTTTGCCCCTTTTTCCTCATCTGTAAAATAAGCTGGAGAAAGAAGTGGCAAACCATTTTAGTATCTCTGCCAAGAAAACCCCAAAGGGGGTCATGAATCTAGTGGAAAACTCAGTTTACACAGAATATCTGGCAGAATGAATGAGCTCCTTTTGGGTGTTTTATGAGTATCCCTGGCTCCTTGAAAGCACAATATTCTCTCTAAGTAATCTGCAACCCACATTAGCCCAGCAGCTTACCCTCAGTCAAGGAAACTGAGGTTCTGGAGGGCCAAGTACAGATTGCAGACTGCAAAAACCCGGGCACCGAGGGACAGATGCAACCCTGCCAGCCTCAGATGTCTGGGTCCATTGCTTCTCCTGCTGACCCAAACTTTCTGTCCCTGGCTTATTATTCTCACCATGTGTTTCTTCCTTTTTGTACATGTTGTTCTTCCTTTGGTGATGGATGCCAACAAAGCCACTCCCCTGTACTTTGAAGTCATACTAATTAAAGGGACCAAGGCTTTGAATCTCCCCAGTGGCTGATCTTGAGGATTTCAAACCATCCTCCTCTCCCCTTATCTTTCTCTCTCTCTCTCTCTCTCTCTCTCTCTCTCTCTCTCTCTCTCTCTCTCTCTCTCTCTCTCTCTCTCTCTTTTTTAGGAACGTGGGGAGTCTACAGTTGTGATTTCAATGGCTCAAAGAACTCACAGTGTGGAAACTCCCTCCAGGGAAGTGTAATGGCAACTCCTCTTTAACTTAATCTCCAGGGATGTCCTAGGGTGCTAAGAGGTAGGGTTACCCAATCAGTGGGTGTCAGATTCATGAGTTTTTCTTGACTCTGAGGCTAGCAGTCTTCATCTACTACACCATGCTGCCACTTAGCGCAATTATTATTGTCTTTGTTTTTACAGATGAAGAAACTGAGGCTGAAGGAGATTAAGTGACCTGCCCACAGTCATACAGCTAATGGTTCTGGGTTTTTGTTGTTGTTGGTGGTGGTGGTGGTGGTGATGGTGATGGTGATGATAATGATGAAACCTAGATCTTCACATCCAAAAGGTAACCATGGTGAGAACTGCAAAGCTTTGCCTTGGGACACCAACATTTAGAGGAAAGTGACAGAACTTTTACACCTTTGGTAGGGAAAAGCCACTGAGTTTGGTACCTATGAAGCACAGACAATTGATTAAAATGGTTGTTGTTTTGTCCAAAGGCATTTCCAGTGGGTGAATTGGATGTGAGGCTGAGCAGCACAAAGTCATCAGCTTTACTCTGTCTTCCAGAGTCATCAAAGTCCTGTGGCAGGACAAGAGTCAAGATGACCCAGGATGCAGTGGACAACCTTGGTGTCTTCAATGTCTGACCAAGCTCTAAGTGCTCCACAGTGCCTGCTTCAGCTGTCTTCATGGCCGTTGGAACAAATTGTCCTCATCTGCCCATTCTGCCAGAGGAAGTCTTTACATGCTTGGGGCAGACATCCCCCTAACTCACTGTTGGTTACCCTCAACCTGGTTTAGCCCGTCTGCCAAGGCAGTTTTACTGGAGTGTGACCACTGTGTATGCCACAGCTTCTTGGAGCCACAGGGGAGAGTTGGTGGCAGGTGGACACCAGAACTGGATAAGCAGCCCTGAAAAGGGCTCAGCAAGTTCTCATATTAGAGGTGATACTCTTCCCTGAACACCCCATCCATAAAATAGAAATCCAGCTGTTGCCACTTCTCTTCTTCTGTTCTACCCACTGAAGCCACAGATCCTGGATCTACCTCATTCCTCCTCTTTCCCCTAGTAGCAGTTTCTAGGTAGTACTAGGTACCCAGTAGCAATTTCTAGGTAGCCTCTCCAGGAGCTCAGGGGCCCAGGTGTCTTCCTCTCTCTGCCACAAAGCTTTGTGTCCTGAAGTCCTTACTCTATTCCCACTATATCCATGACTGAAATGTATTTTATGTTTCTTCGCTCATCACTAGAGTTGCTAGTTTGGGTCCTGTGATGAACAGTCTTTCTCTGAGACCCAAATACCTGTCTCAATTTATTAATGAACTCTAGTTGATTATGAAATTCTTGACTATGAGATATGAGTCATTATGAGATTCTTCTCCTTCTCCTCCTCTGAGGATTAAGTGGCTTTCCAGGTTTAAAGGTTTGTGAGAGCCAGCTCAGGATCGAGAACAAGCAATCTCGGATATACAGAGTTGGAGAAAAAAAAAAGGGAAGGGGTCAACAAGTGAGAAACAAAAAAAAAATAAGGAAAAAAACAGTTTAGTTAAGAATATTTGGGCTAAGAAAAAGATAGATTTCATGTTTATGTGAAGGAGTAAATTCAGAGAATCATGGATTTAGAGCCAAAAAGGAGCTTGGCAATGATCAAGACTGTCTTCCTCGTTTTTGTTTTTTTTTTTCAAAGGAGAAAAGTGAGACCCACTCCCACCTCCCACCTCTGCCCTGAGGTGAAGGGTCTGACCCAAGGTCTCATTGTTAGTGACAGAACCAGATTCTTTGGTCTCAAAGACAGGGTTTCCCCCAGTTACTGTGCATGAACAGCTAGGGGAAGAATACCCAGCCCCAAATAACCCAGGACACAAAGCTAGGAAGAGTTATTTACAACCAATGAAAAATCCAGAGAGAACTGCTTCCAAATGAGAGCTATGCGTTAATTCAATTCAACAAATATCTTTGTTGTCTGCTATATTTCCAGACACTGAATTCAGTGCAAAGAGAAAAGCACAGCAGTGCCTGTCTTCCAGGAAGCTTGCATTTTAAAGGTTGGAGGGACCATAACAAAATATAAATTATAACAATAGCTAGCCTATATATGATGCTATGATGTTTGTTTGTTTGTTTGTTTCTTTGTTTGTTTTTGGTTGGGCAATGGGGTTAAGTGACTTGCCCAGGGTCACGCAGCTAGTAAGTGTTAATGTATCTGAGGCCAAATTTGAACTCAGGGCCGGTGCTCTATCCATGGTGCTTCGATGTTTTACAAAGAGTTTTACATATATGATCCTATTGGATGCTCACAACCAGCCTGTGAGGATAATAGGACCAGTAGAGTAGGTGTTATTATCATCCTCATATTATAGATGAGGAAACTGAGGTGCAGAAAGTTTGTATGATTTAGTCAGAGTCACACAGCTAGCAAGTATCTGAGGCAGGGTTCAGACTCAAGTCTTCTTGTCTCTATCACCTGGACCACTTAGCTACAGAAATACAAGGCAATTTGGAGAGGGAGAAAATATTAACAATGTGGGGGTGTAGGGGAGGAGGAAAGGGAATCAGGGAGGACCCAATGGAGGAAGTGTTGTCCAGCCATTTTAGTCTTGTCTGAGTCTTTATGACCCCATTTGGGGTTTTCTTGGCAGAGATCCTGGAGTGGTTGGCCATTTCCTTCTCCAGTTCATTTTACAGATGAAGAAACTGAGGCAAACAGGGTGAAGTGACTGGACCAGGGTCAAACAGCTAGTATGTACCTGAGGCTGGATTTGAACTCAGGAAGGTAAGTCTTCCTGAGTCTAGGTCCAGCATTCTAATGGAACTGGAGCTGGGACTTAAAGGCAAAGAAAAGTTTGAATAAGTAGAGATACGGAAGGAATATGTTTGAGACACGTATAGACACACAAAGTTTGGAGAAGCCACAGGAAAAACTTCCTAGACATTAGAGTCATACCAAAGTGAAACAAGCCACCCCAAGAGATCCTTCCTTTGAGGTCTTTAGGCAGAAGCTGGAGAACTGTTTGTTGGGAATTGTAGATGGTTGGATCAGTCTCTGCCCAAGGTCCTTTCCAAATCCAAGAATCTATGATTCTGTGATCAGAAATTCCTCCCCTTGAACTGACACATTCCTTTTTGAAAATTGAGACTCTCTTCCCTCTCCACCCCCAAGGGAGGAACAGTAATTAGGCCCAAGTAATAAGAGAGAGAGCCCTATGGCCCTGGGGGGTAAGCCTGTGGTTATCACTGTGGTGAGGAGTGGCACAGTGTTTAGAAGGGTGGTCTTGAGTGGTGTACTATCGTGGGACATCCTGGCGAAACCAATCCAATCCAGAAAGCATTGGGGGTGAGGACGTGGGACCAGACACGTCAGTTACTTTTTTTTTTTTAACATTTGTATAGCACTTAATATGTGCTGGGCACTATGCCAAGCACTTTAGAAATATTATCTCATTTGATTCTTACAACAACCATGGCAGGTAGATGTTAGTGTTATACCCATTTTACATATGAGGACATGGAGGCAAACAGAAGTTAAGTGACTTGCCCAGGGTCACATTGCTTGTAAGTAAGTGTTTGAGGCTGGATTTGAACTCAGGTCTTCCTGACTCTAGCTCCAGCTCTTAACCGCTATGCCATCTGGCTGCCATAATTAATTGGGAAAGGTAAGTACAATGAGAAAACTCCCTCTGCCAATGCAGATTGGTGTCTGTTCCAGGACTTAGAGTCTCAGAGAGCTGCTTGGACCCACAGAGAGCTAACAGGATCTGCCTGGAGTCACATTCAATAAATGTCAGAGGTGAGACTTAAGATCAGGTCTTTCTGATTCCAAGGCTGGCTCTATCTACAAGGCCACACCATAGCTCAAGAATCTCTTTAGCTTCATTCCTTTAATTTCCAGTCAAATGCAAGCATCCTGAGGTCAGTTTTTCATTTTCCATTTGTCTTTGTATCACCCAACCAGCACTTCGCTCATACATAGTAAGCACTTATTAAGAAAACTAATCATATAAAGATAAGAGAAAAAAAAAACAGTCCCTGCCCTCAAGGAGGTTATAGTCTACTGGGCATTATGGGAATAGGAGGAAAGACAGCCTAACTTTTTAAAGAATATTGCTTTGGTCTCTCTCAGCAGCCTTTTCTGGTACTAAGAAAACACAATGTTGTCGTTTAGTCATGTCCAACTCTTCAAAACCCCATCTGGGGTTTTCTTGGCAAAGATACTGGAGTGGTTGGCCATTTCATTCTCTGGCTCATTTTACAGAAGAGAAAACTGAGGCAAACAGAGTTAAGTGAGTTGCCCAGGGTCACACAGCTAATAAGTTTCTGAGGCCAGATCTGAACTCAAGTCTTCCTGACTCAAGGCTGGTGCTCTATCCACTGTGCCACCTAGGTCTTCAATAAATATTTGTTGAATGAATTAATGAACATATGGGTCCATCAGCTTTTAGCATCAAAGACTAATGCATAGGTGCCTGAATCATATTTCTTAGAATTCTGAGTTGCAAGGTACTTTAGAGATCAGGTAGTGACTAGATCCTTCTCTAAGCACCTCTTCTCATTTATTTTTATTTTTTGCACTACAGGAATTTACATTTTAATTGTCTTCTTGTCTGTTGATTTTCTTCTGCCATTTTTTGAGTTCCAAATCTGTTAATCTCTTCACAGCTTCTTCATCTTTAGAGATTCTCCACTCTGGATGTTTTTCCAAACCTAATTTTTATTTTGAATTCTGCATTGAATTATATTTTGAATGATGAAAGATAAAACTTTTGATCTAAATTTGTTCCTAATTTCTTCTCCTATGAATTGCGTTTCTTTTTTTCAAACCATTCTGTAGTTTCTTTGTTGTTCCATGATATCTGGGGAGCCATGAGGATTCTGTCTTCCATCCAGTATCTTTGGAACATTTTCTTTCATATATTACTTGTGAAGCATAATTTAGTTTTACCTTTCTTTTTCCTTTTCCTTTTTAGTATCTTTTCTATAAGTCTATCTGTGGTAGTGAGCTTTCATTAAACCAGATCTGAGTTTCCACCTTTTTTTTTTAATGTATTCCCTGTTACTTTCTGACCCCTCCTCCTTTACTAAAGCTCAGTTCCCCAAAATTAGGCTACAAACTGCATCTATTTCCTCTTCTGGTGGATAAGAGAGCCACTAGTCTGGGTTTCAGCCTTGAGTGACCTCTGGGGAGACAGGAATGATCCAAACCAGTTTTCCTCTCCTCTTTCTTTCAGGCTCAATGTACT